TTTTATAGGTGGTTTTCTAGTGCGTCTAGGGTGTTAGAAGGCTCCCTGACCCAGACAAGGTGTAAGTCCTTTTGTTTGGAGCGTTTCCAGCTTTGTAGTTGAACCTCCATTTCTTTTCCTTCCTGAGGCATCCTTGTCATTTTGGCAGGTATAAGTCTCACCTCTTGAAACTCCAGCTTTTAGTCATAGGATAGAGTTTCTTTCTTTTGACCTTAGGGCTACTGAGGTTCCTGTGGACGACGCAATTCATGGGTTGCTAACCGAGAAACTCAGGACATCTTGGGTCGACTACCTTCACGACTAGATAGGCTTAGGGTCGCGCCCGCGAATAGTTGTAGATGATGGGTCAGTGGTACCCCGACCCAATTACCTATACCTTTTAGGATCACTCTACCTTCCTTTTTGTTGAGCCCCTTTGAGCCCTATCGCTCCTTGACTTCGTTGATATCATTTTGACGGTCTGATGCCGATGAGCTGCCGACTATTTTGGGTACGACGATTTGTCCTCTGCCCTTATGGTTCGGACGTGCTTTGACGTGTTTGGATATCCCCGTCAAGATGATTTAGGTTATTCCATGGGCTCTGTGTGTCGATGAGCCGCTAGCCATTCGGGATGTGAGAGACTCACTCTCTGTCTGATGGCTTAGCGCGAGGTTTGAAGCATAGTGATTGTTCTCACACAGAATAGCCTTCTTTTGAGTACCTATTACCCCACGTTCACGATAATCCAAGCGAAACTCCTTTTATCGAGAGTATTCTTGGGTATCCCCTAAGATGTAATTAACCAAGTGGGATACGGTGGGATAGATACGTCCCCTTAGGAGTGCTCTTGATCCCAGAACAGACACCTACACCTGAATCTCTGATTATGGGTAGTCTACGTAGGTATTCTTTGGCGGATATCGGTTTAAGGTGTTTTCGTCTGATCTTGTTTGGACGGACACTCTTAACATATCCTTGCGATGTTTACCGCACGTAGGCTCTCCACGTTTTGTGTTTTCTCTTGTTTGTCGTTTTGTCGTATGTTCTTTCTTATTTGATTTCTCTCCTCTTTGAATAACATACATGATTCGGGAGGGAGATTTACTCGAATGGGGGAAGTATACGACAATCGACAGGCTGCGACTCCTTCTAAAATAAAAGGGAGAAAAACAAACGAAAACAACCACTCTAGATATTGATGCCAATCCCAAGTCTTACTCACCAACCACCTTGTAATTCTCACCCACCATTGGAATTAAAAATAAATCATTGATCTCCACTTTTCTTAATACTCATTGCCTTATGAGAAATACATTGTTGTCATTCTTTACATAGTTGTTCGCTTCTATAGGAAGACTTTGCCACTTTTCTTATTGAATATGGATCACCAACCATTAAACTCGGCAATAATCGTTGTCCTCGATGTTTTACAACCCTTGTCTCCATACTTGCTGCCACAATCTCTCCATTAGTGCCTGCTCAATCTCCATCATATGCATCCGAAATCCAATTCGTCACCTCCAAACATGGCGTCCCACTAGTCTCATTGGCTTAAATCATTTCATTGCCTTGGCCTTATTTTTAAAGCCGTTTTCAGCTCAGACATTTTTTCCAACAAAGGACATTCAACCTTTTCCATCTATATTTACGTTGATGGCCTCCAAAACTTGTCGTCAAACTTCTATGTTTTCATTCTCGGCCTTTGTAGAAAACTTCTCTTAATATAATGTCATCATGGTTGCTTCCCAAACTGATGACAACACCCATCATCTCCTGTTGAGTTTCAGAAGATGATATCCTTTGTTTATTCCACAATTGGCTTTGTTTCTTTCGTTTCCCTTAATTGCAAGAGCTCAATTTGCTCAAAATTTTTTTATCTCTCGTCATTCATAGAACCTCACAATTGGCCTTTGCACTCCATCAGCTTCATCCCTTGTAGTTGGCCTGCCCTATGCTGCAACCAATATCCCTTTAAGTCGGTCTAGTCGTATCCTTTGCCTCTGTCTACTGGGATTGTCAAATATCTATCCAACTTGTTGATATTGTGCTTGCAACTATCATAACTATTTTGCTCATCTACTGCTTTGGTTCTTATCATTGTCCCTTACATGATTATGCATTGTTCAGATAAAATCAACAAAATTGAAGTGAACCGATCTTACTTACTTAGTTTAGTTTAGTTGTTGAAGTGTCATTTTAATTATTGATTTTTTTTTTGTTACTGATTTAATTTTTGCTTTTGTACAACAACAACAAGCCTTTATTCCACTAAGTAGGGTCGGTTGCATGAATCTTATTTCTACATTATGTCTTATTGAGTGTCATATTTTCATTTAATTCTAATAAATTAAGATCACTTTTTATATAATATGTCCGTGTCTTTTTAGGTTTACTCTACTTTTCTTACCATAAGTTAAATCTAAAACATCAACTATACTAATTGAATCATCAATGGTCAGCATTTAATATGACAAACCCGTCTAAGACGACTCTCTCCAATCTTGTGTGCCGCTGGAGATACACCAACCCTTTCACGGATACATTTGTTTCGCATTTTATCTCCAAGTGTCAAGTCACTCATCCACCTAAGCATTCTCATCTCAACAGCACTTAATTAAGTTTTATGCTTCTCTTTTAAAGACCAACATTTAGTGCATAAAGCGTTTTAGGTCTCACCACCATCTTATAACATTTTCGTTTTAAGTCTAAATGGTACTTTTTTATCACATAATAGGCCCAATGCATTCCTCCACTTCAACCAACCAACTTGAATTCTACTAATAGCATCCTCATCTACATTGCTATCACTTTGAACAATAGACCTGAAATATCTAAAATGTTCACACTTTTTAATGATTTGATCATCCATAATTATATCTCTGACACTAGATATACTACTACTAAAATTACATTCCATGTATTCAGTTTTAGAAATACTCAAATGAAGGCCTTTAGACTCTAATGTATACCTCCATAATTCAAGTTTTTCCTAAATTCTTTCTTTAGTCTTATCCACAAGAAAGATATCATCAACAAAAATCACACACCAAGGTACATCCTCGTGTAAATGTCTGGTAAGTGCATCCATAACTAAAGCAAAAAGATATGGGTTTAAAGCTGATTCCTGATGTAATCCAACTAAAATAGGAAAATACTTGTTCAATCCTCCTTCTGTTCGAACACAGTAACAGCTCTGGTATACATATCTTCAATGACTTGAATATAAGTCGTATCAGCACCTTCCTTTCCTAAAACTCTCCAAAAAACTTCTTTTAAAACCTTATCATAAGCTTTTTCTAAATCAATAAAATAACATATGTAGATCCTCCTTACTTTATTTGTACTTCTTCATCATTCCTCTCAGTAAATGTATATCTTCCATAGTAGACTTGTTTGGCATAAACCCAAACTTATTATGAGAAATCTTTGCATCACGTCTTAACCTGCATTCAATTACTCTCTCCCATAATTTTAATGTATGACACGTTAACTTAATTCCTCTAGTTTATGCTTTTGCAAAAGCAAAAAAATAAAATTTTAAAAGTTACTACTTATTTCAAATTTTAAATCAATAAAACCTATGAACTAAAAAAATGACAAAGATGAACTTTAATATAATTTGCATCAAATGCCAAAACTATAAATTTAAGAAAATATTATTTGATATTCTTTTTTATACATGTTATCTTAGCTAATCATAATTATTTTTGTTATTAAAGTTAATTTCATTTTAGCCATCCAAACTAATCAAATTAAACTTTTATTCAATTTAGTTTGGTTAGGAAAATAGTTTTGTTGGGTTTTTTTTTAATTTCACAAGCAAAATCAATTGATTTAGCTAACTTCCAAATTAAATGATCCAAATCAAGTATATGCACACCCGTAATCTCTTACCTTATTAGATTCATCCTAAGCTAATCTTCGTCATGACCACCAAGGCACTTGTTTTCTTTTTTTTTTATATATAGGTCTATCCTGCTATGTGGCCTACCTTTATTCTATAGCATCAATGCTTCCCATTGCAGCCTCGGTCAATGTATTAGTAGTCTTGTTTTTGTGTTTACTGTATTCAATTAATTATAGAGTTCTTTTTAGTTTTGTTAAATAACCACATTTGGCTAGAGCTCTGTATTACTGTAATCACCATATTCAAAAGTATAAATAAAATATTTTAAAGCCACTAACAACCATAAGATTAAATTTTCCCAGCTTTATTTTGTTCTATTTTTTTGTCTTCCAGGAAATAGAGCTTCAGCTTTGTTTGGGAGCCACGTGCCACTCGAAGTGCACAGCCAAATGGGACAGAACTCTCATCAACTCCAGTTAATGTATGGTTCCAAAACAAAGTTTCAAATATCCTCTGATTCTTAGCATGTAGTCAAACACTTCCCAAAAGAAGATGCTGCAAGAAAGGGACAAGACTGGTTTCCACAATGATTCAATGCTTGCAAGCTTGCACAAAATCTTTAACAAAACTTTTAAGGCCGTTTTCGGACGAACAATCCTGGCAATAATCAAATAGCTCTACAGTGGAATGCAAGCAGTTAAATGTAGGAATACTACTACTACTAGTAATAATAATAATAATAAACAAAATCAACCACTGAGTTTCAGCCTTCGCCTCTTCATTTGTGCGAAAAACAACGAAAAAAGCAAGGCATGCCAATTTTTTCAAATAGTTAGCAAAGGCACAAATCCACCAAATGGAATTCACATTCTTAGGACATAGTTTTCGAGATGTCACCAGATTCACCACAAACTTGCTAATAAGTTCGTGTAAGACCTCCCAACTAAAAGCCTCATAAGGTAAGAAACTTCCCTTCTCAACTAGTCATGAAACAAAGGATAATTCCATCATTCAAAGCATCTCCGTTCAATAATAAGCATGGAAAATATAATTTATGAATCTTCAGGTAAAATTTCAAACCTTAACGCAGCATACATCAGCACAGACAGAAGCAAACCCTAAAACAATTAACAATTCGGTAAAAATTCCAGAAAACAAGGGCAGTGATGACCTTAGAGGATCGAGGCTTCGACCAGCCCTTCGCGTCCAGCTCATCAAAGGAAGCTGCTGACGCGGCCACGAGGACGACCAGCCGATGGGTCCTCAGGGGGGCAAATCGCGAAGGTGATAGCACCAGCCGTGGAGAGAAGAGGATCGCCGGAGGTAGAGGCGGCGGAACCGGCCGGAGCAGCGCCCGCGGGAGGCAAGAGGCGACTGTCGGCATGCCCCCCTCTCCCCCCCGGCCTCTCTACCTTTGTGCTAAATCGGATAGGAGGAAACGAACAAAACTAATGTATATTTTTTTTAAGGAAATTTATATCTAATAAACCATCTTTTACTAAATGGGACGGCTATACTCAATGGGCGAGTCACCCCGTGTTTGTTGTGATCCCTTCACGAGTATTATTTGTTGGGTCAATGTCGATAAACAATGTAAGTTAAGTAAGCGGGATTGACACAGGTATAACTGTGCTGAGAATCCAATAAATCAAACTTTTTGTCAACTTGCATGTTACGGATTTGAATTTAATGACTTATATTACATTCGCCATAATTTTAAATTTATGTATGTAGCAAGCTAAGTTGTATATAAGGGCAAATCTTTTCAAAATCCATGATGGGTGACACCTTTCAGATCCCTTGGATCTTCAGGATGAGGTCGGCATGACGATCCCGGCAAAGTCATATGTACTCGAAGACTTACCCCACACTTCGATGTTGGTTGTGACACTTCTCGTTAAATGGTGTGTTAAGTTAGGAATTAGGATGCTAGGTAGCTTTTTAATGCCTTTAGCTATTGTTCTTTGATGTTTTGTTTATGCTAACCATGCATAACTTTTGTGTTTTTCGGTGTGCGGGTGTGCTTGATGTGTGTGGTAGTATATTAGAGTGTTCTTTTGCAAGGAGCTGTGTCTATACATATGCACACACACACATGTATCACTAAGGAGGAGCGCGTAATGATTTCTAACCCTTTGCTTAGAGGTCTCATTTAACTCACCCGATTAAAAGGCACGGATCATTATGCATGACATGGCTTTCTGCATTAACACTTGTTTTCATGCAGGTTGAGTATTTTATTTCTCTTTCAAATCTATTTCATATAGTTTATAGGCTGAGTCTTTTTTGAAAATAAGGTGAAGCACAGGTTTCGAAGCGGATGATGCATCGAATCACGTGATGGGGACCGGAGCGGCAACTCGTGTCTCGTACCTTAAGTTCATATCATATTTTTGTATAGATCTAGGATCAGGTATGTATATGTGGAGTCCAACCGTTTTCCTGCTTTTGATGGGATATGTTGTTGACCTAATGACATTTGGCCATATTTATATATTTTAGAGTGTCTTGCTCTTTTATTGAGTGTTTGCATGCCTGAATTGCTTTTATTGTTTATTTCTATGCATATGAGATATTACAAATTTATAATTTAGACCCATTAAGAACCTTAAACTCGTAATATTTCTACTTAAAATCCTAATAAAAAATTCAAGATAAATCAAAATTTATGATTAAAAGATTTGTGATTTTCAAAATCTATCTTTTATTTTTCTGCATGACCTTAGCATGATATCACCTAAACTATATAATAGGGCCTCCACAGTACCTAAGGATCGCTCAAGACAATTGCATTCATACTTGCATGTCCCGAGGAGAAGTCTTTGTGCTTCTCCAACCCAATTGACCCAACATACATTTTTTATATAGGAGATTCTATAGTGCGCCTAGAGTGTTAGAAGACTCCCTAACCAAAATGTGGTGTATGTCCTTTTGTTGGGAGTGTTTATAGCTTTGCAGCTAAAGCTCTGTTTCCCCTCTCTTCCAACGACATCATCGTCACTTCGACAGTGGAACTCCCACCTCTTGAAGCTCCACCTGATAGTCATAGAATAGAGTTTATATCCTCTGACCTTATGGCTACTGAGATCCTTGCAAGCGACATAATTTATGGATTGCTAATCGGGGATATCTGGATGTGTTAGGTCGACTACTTTCACGACCAAGTAGACTTAGGGTCTTAGCAGCTTGGAATGACGGATATGTTGTACCTACCTCTACCTTTTAGAGACTACTCCTACCTTCCTTTGACAACCCTTATTGAGCCATGTAGCTCCTTTTACCTTCATTATTATTATCTCGACGACCTGATTGCCAATAAGTTGTCGCATGTTTGGGATACAACAAATTGTCATCTCTCTTATAACCCGGATGTGCTTTGAAGTATTGAGATTCCCCATCGGGATTATTCGATCATTTTGTTGGCTTCATACTTCGATGAGTTTATTACCTATGTAGGGATCACAAGAGACTCACCCTCCGCCCCGTGACTAACAGTAGCTTTAAAAACATTAGAGCATTCAATGTAAGGTGACCTTCTATTGTTAGCCCTGTGCTAGATGTCACTATTAATATAAGCAATGCTCATTTGGATCAAGAGTATTCTGGGGCAACCCCCATGATGCAATTAACTAAGTGGGATATGTTCCATTGGGAGCACTCCCGACCCCTTAATACGTAAACACGCCTGAATCTCTTTTTTTGAGTAGTCTACGTAGGTATTATTTCACAGATACAGTCAAAGGTGCTTCATCCCGATCTTGTTTTGGTGGACATACCTGACATATCCTTACGAGGTTTATCAAACATAGGCTCACCACGTTCTTTCTCTTATTTACTGTCTTTGTCGTATGTTTGTATTTTTTTTGTTTATCTCTTCTTTTGATGATTCATATGATCCAGAAGAGATTTATTCAAAAAAGAGAAGTATAATACAATAAATAAACTCGTGACTCCTTCAAAAAATAAAAAAAGAAAAATGATGAGAACATCCCTTTCAGGATGATTCAGTTTATTTGCAGGCTCCGTATGCAGATAACTCTGTTACACATGTGAGACTGTGAGAGACTGACTCTCCGTCCTGTGGCGTAGCGGGAGCTTTAAAGCATTGGAGTATTCTCCTATGAATATTTGTCATTTGATAGCTCTGTGATAGTTGTCACTTTAAATGCAAGTAAAACTCTTTGAATCAAGAGTATTATTGGACAACTCCTAAAATGTAATTAACTAAGTGATATGCGTCTTTTTGTGAGCACTCTAAACCTGAGAATAAACAAACATACATGAATCTCTGGTTGTGGGTAGCTTTTGTAAGCATTCTTTGGCGATTATATGACACAAACTATTTTGATCAGATCTTTTTCAGGCGCATGTGCTTGACATATCGTAGCGATGTTTCCTGCACGGAAGTTCTCCACATTTTTTCTCTTGTTTTTTCAACTTTGTTGTATGTCCTGATTTTACTGGTGTCCTCTTCTCTTGATCATTCATATGATTTTGAAGAGAAACTTATTTATAAAAAGGACGTATACAACGATGAACAAAGTGCAACTCCTTTAAAAATAAAAAAAGGTACGAAAACAAGTATTATTTTTATATAATGAAAAGTGTAATTCAAATTCAGTCAAATTGGTTGAATTCTAAATTCAGTAAAATGAATTATGTTGTAAACTTCAAATTCATTCATACTTTACATTGTATTTATAATGCTGCATAACAAACATGATTTTCTCAAATGCATGCAAAAAAACTACAGACATCACAATTTTACTCAATTAAACAACCCTTAAAGCAATCATCTATAACCCACATGACCAACCATTATCATCATTTTCTAACACAAACTCTAGGACAAGTTGATGCTATAACCACTGTCAACAATATTCACGGTGGACTATTGCCTCTTCCACAACTGACAACAATCTTCGTGGCCCATTGCATTTGTTATTATTGAAATATCATTGTACATGAACTTTGTAATTCTATCTTTCTTAACTCAAGGTGAGAGGGGTCCTACGTACTCGCAATTATATTGGTCTCGTAAATTTGTCATTTTTTCAAAGTTTTTAATGTAAAAAGCTTTGGTGTCTTTATTTATCACATTAATTACCTGACTGTGTGTTGAATTTTCGTGCAACACTAAGATGCTAAATTTATTACTCTACCACTGTGAATCTAGCGGTGCATACACAATTTTGCTTGTTGAATCGAGCTCACATGCCGAAGCAGCTGAATCAAGCTCGCCTGTTGAAATGTCTGAATCAAGCCCATCTGTCAAAGAGGTTGAACCAAGCACACCTACCAAAGTGGTTGAACCGAGTCTACTTATCGACATGGTTGAATCGAGCCCGCCAACTAAAGTGACTGAATCAAGACCATCTTACAAAATTGTTGAATTGAGCTCAACTCTCGATTCAATTATATTCTTCTCAAAAGAAAGGCCTAGCCGTATGTGCGAGGACAACTATCGAAGAGGGTCATAACTAGTAAAGCATATGTCAATCATTATTGGAAACGTCACTCGAGATTTGAGACTTTATTTTTTTCACGTAGGCACTATAGATGAGCATTGTAGCAGAAACGCCTAACACCAGCATTGCGGTCTTTTGATGAAGAATCTAGGTAAGGGTGTCACGCAACACGAGATATTTTGCATCCATTATTATATCACTCCCTCGTGTATAAAAGTAAAGGAAAAAAATGAGAGAAAAGGGATTGATCTCTCTGCCTCTCCTTAAATTTTATAACTCAGAGAATCTAAGAAGAGTCTGACTTCTCTCATTTCTCCCATCCATCCCTCTCTCTCTCTTTCTCTCTCTCTGCTCCCTCTCAATGATACATAGTCTTTACCAGATTATATGCACTCACAAACAATACGAGACCACACTCCTCAACCCTTTCTCTTTAATATTCTTCTGCGCTGGCTTTGCCCATATTCTGCACTAAGAAAATAGAAACCATCAAAGACCGTCCATTTTGCGTAGCTGACAAAGCTTCTCTTTCACTATTTTATTTTATTTTAATATCCATTTGCTCATTAGTTTGGCTTCGGATCCCATATGGCAACTTCATTATTTTTTTAATTAACGGCCAGAAATAAATTACATTTTTGAAATTTCTTAAAGTTCCTCTTTTTCTCATGCCTTGGACGGTACCGCAAGAGGCCACATAATTGCTTTTTTCATTTAAAGCATTTCATCCATGCACAACATATGTACTTCATTGATCATGTTTTTTATATTTAGGAAGATTTACATTTATGCCACTCACTTCTTATGTATTTACATATTAAAAACATAACTTTTAATATTTACATATATGCCATGAAAATGTGTACTTCATTTTCTTAAAGTTTAAATAATGATATTTTCTTATGTGAAATATAAGATTTGGCGGTATAAATGTAATGTAAAACCCTGTTAAATACTTATATTTATACACCCAAGGGTTTAGCAATTTAAGTTTTCATCTTATCTTATGTATTTGTGTGAAATTTAATTACATGCATGACACACAATTCTTATGTATTTACATATCTAACCCCTAAACTTTCATGTTTACATTTATAACACTTTTGGTTCGTATTTTACTTTTAAAAAATAAATAATAATGTTATTTTTTATATGATATTAAAAATTAGAGTGTCATGCATATTCGCATAAGATCTTAGTTGTTAGATTTGTGAACATAAAATGGTTAAGTGGTAAGTATGTAATTGTCCCAAATTATTTTTATTTCATAATTATATTTTTGAATGTTTAAGAATTTAATTATATTGAAAAATATATATGTTTTCTTCATAGTATTATATATAAGCCGTGCATTGCATTATAATGTTATTATTTACATGATAATGATATCGGGATTAAAATTCAATTTAAGTGAGTAATTTTTATAATATATTTATTGATTAGTATTTAATTATGTACCAACATACTTCCATATGGTAAGTGTAAAGGAAAAATACTTTGGCATGTGAATTTCCTTCATATTATGAGTAAACATTTGGTGGAGAGTGACTCATGGAGAGTGCAAATAGACATTTCTTAAAGGCATTTCATAAGTGCGGCATATTATTAGTACTATTCTCTCTCTCACTCTCTTACTCACACAAACACACACACACACACTACATTATATATGATAAGATTAATAAGAATGGTTAGGCTATAATATCACACTCATAAGAAGAGAAAAGATTATGTGTCTGTCGTCCCGATGTCCGGACAATGATGTGGATCATATCACGTCACTGTGCATGAAGCGTGGTGCGATCCAGGTTGTCGTATGTACGTCTGTTTATCAGGACATAATATTATTATCCTCAGAAAGTCATTTAATACTAATATAAAATTGACCAAAATTATTTTGGGTACTTTTGTTGTGAAAAAACGACGGTAATAAAACGATAAATTGAAACGAGAAATTCGCAAAATAGAAAACACACAGCGGAACACACAGATTTATGTGGTTCGACAGATTGTCTATGTCCACGGAGTTGCAGAGGATTTTATTATTTTGATAAATTATACCGTCGATCGCCTCGACGAGTACAATAACGCTTCTCTCTCTCCCTCTCTCTCTCTCTCGCCCGGAGAAGTGGTTTTAAAGGGAGTACCTTGGCTGCTTGAGATGCATGAATTTAAACATGCAAAAATGCACGTTACTTGGAAACTTCCTTTAATTTGCCAAAGGCAGCAGAGGAAATAGGGAGATTGATTTTTGCGAATCCAGGAAGCAATGGCGGGAGATTAATTTCGGGAAATGAATTATCAAAGGAAGAAATTAAGGCTCATTTCCTTAATTTGTGAAACTAAGAAAAGACATGTATTTAAATATATTAAATACATTCTATAAATGCAAAACCTGCCCAAACAGATAGAGGATCGGGCTCCACCTTCCTTAACAATTTTATTTTATTTTATTGTGTAAATTAAAATTTTTTTGGATGGTTGGATGTCACTCTCACATAGATTTTACTAGATTATTAGTATTTGATTGTGTGAATATGTATAATTGATATGCAAAACACCCAAATAATAGGTAAGGAAAACAATACCAAGCTCTCACAAAACGTCATTTTGTAATTGTATCAATTAAGATACACTAATATCAATAATCTTTTTCATTTACATGCATCATCCACCGTTAGTAACATAAAATGATTAACTCTATCATAGTCAATGGTCATACAAACATCTTATAAAACACATATCATTCATATACTCATCCCATTCAATGTCATGTAATCCATATATCATTAACTAATATGGAATAGTCATCACAATAACAAAGCTTAACATTCATGATGATATGACTAATAAATTAAAATGTATATAAATCATAATAAAACTTAGACAATTTAATTTAACATATGTGAGTAGCTATACATATGATAAAAAAAAAAAAACAAAACACTTCTATAAGTTAAAAGTAAGAATACTCTCTTCAATAACATATAACTCCCATTCACATAACCAATTATTAAATTATGCTTCACATAATAACACCATGCAAGCACAAAATCCTCTTTAACATGAAATTCTAAAAAGAAAAAGATATGTTAAAGGACTAATAAAACCGAAGTTACTTCTGAATTTTAACTTTTTTCCTAGTAATAAATAGAGGGGATATATAAAAGAACATTTTACCGGCAAAATACTCCACATGTATTCAATAATAATCTTTGCATTGAATAAAAGTTTTTCACCAATGAATAATCATTATCCTTAGCATTGCTCATGAAAAGAGATAAATTCTTATATTTTGATTTATGAACATCAAAAGGACTTACCATTTGAGGATGCCACATTCAATGTAGAGGAAAATGAGGAGATAATTTATCCTAAAACTATTAAGTTAAAATTATTCAATCAAACCCCACGAGAGAGAGAAAATATTACATCAGTTCTACGCACTTAGAAGTAACGTGCGTAGCCAATGAAATCATGTCACGACATCTCGCGCGACAGGGAAAAAAAACGGTGCAGTAACACGGGGAATATTCCCCCATGTGTTATTCATGTGTTATTGTGTATTATTCATGTGTCATTGATGTGTTATTGTGTTATTATAGCACCAAGAATATTCTCAAGACACAATAACACATGAATAACACACAATAACACCTGAATAACACGGGGAATATTCCCGACAAAGGAAAAAGCGGCGCAGTAACACGGGGGAATATTCTCCCCCGTGTTAATCATGTGTTATTGTGTGTTATTCAAATGTTATTGTGTTATTATAACACCAGAAATATTCCCTATTGTGTTATTATAACATTAGAAATATTCACAGAATACAATAACACCTGAATAACATACAATAACACCTGAATAACGCGGGGGTAATATACGAGAGAAGAGATAGAAATGAGAAGATAAAGAGGCGAAAAATATGATGAATCACAAAAGTAAGAGCCATCAAGGGCTTAAAATCATTCAATCAAAGCTATACTTTTAGAGAGGAAAGCTCTATATGTGCCTGGGATATAAGAGAGCTAGTTGAAATGTTCGAATTTGTAGCACTTTGATAGAAAATAAAATGAAAGTATGTCATTAGAGTTCTCATACTGTTAGTTTGAAGACACTTGTAGCTCCCATAAATTATTATTATTTTTTTGTTATTTAAAATTTTTATATGCTTTAGGCCTAGTGTGGCCAAGCACAAAACTATTTTAAAAGTCATGTTCACAGAACTTAAATTTACAATTTGCCGTTTAAAATGATGAAAGATTGCCTACGGAGCTTCACTTGACTATTCAAACATGGCCTTACTCAAATACAAGGAAGATATTCTTAAAAAATCAAATTAGTGGTAAAAAATCATTAATTACAAAAACAATCCTCTTCTATTAAAAACAAAAAGAATTGCTAAATTTTATCAAAGATAAGAAATGTTGGGCTCCACCTAAACGCAAACACGACGACACGATAGCTACTACGGCAAACATGACTCCGGTCGATATAAGCCTCCCTCCGCTCCCCTCTTCTCCCGACGAAAACTGCTTCTTCTTTTCCTTCCTCCGTTCCCTCGCCGCAGCCGCCTCCGTCGGCGATAGCCTCCGTAGCCCCTCCATGCCGTCTCCCTCCGACGAGGAAGCCAGCACTCTCCTTTCTTCCAGCTCGCCGGAACTCGAAGATGACGAAGAGAAGGCCTACGAATCCAGTGAAAAAATCATCGTTCCGGGCGCAGATGATGAGGAGAGAGACGGTGATGCACCGAGTTTCTCATGGCGGAAGCTATGGCTATTCACTGGTCCGGGGTTTCTGATGAGCATAGCATTCCTGGATCCGGGAAATCTGGAGGGTGATTTACAGGCGGGAGCTATTGCGGGATACTCGCTGCTGTGGTTGCTTATGTGGGCGACGATGATGGGGCTTTTAATCCAAATGTTGTCGGCGAGACTTGGGGTGGCGACTGGGCGGCATCTGGCTGAGCATTGTCGGGAGGAGTACCCGTTGTGGGCTAGGGTTTCGCTGTGGGTTATGGCGGAGTTGGCGTTGATTGGTGCGGATATACAGGAGGTTATTGGCAGCGCTATTGCGATCAAGATACTTAGCCGCGGCGTGCTGCCGCTTTGGTCTGGCGTGGTCATCACCGCGCTTGATTGGTGAGGTCATAATGAAAACCCATTTGTTCCTATTTCTTGATCTTGATATATATTACATTGTTTCTTTCATTAAAATTCAGGGAGTGTAGTTTTTTTGTTGTTTGAATTCAGTTTAAGATCGGGTTCTTATGCTTCGTTTTGATGGAATATTTACTGCCGGAAGACTTAGGAAGTGGACATGGTCTGCATATTTAGTTTGGGCACTCTGTTTAGAAAATCAGGATCCGATCCTGTTCTTGCTAAATTCTGTTTCTGGCAAAGTGTTTAGATTTTGGTTTGAATTCAAGTTTCATGCGTAGGAAAACTCTTCTTTAGGAGATTACTAAAATTAAATCAATATTAGGTGCTGGATTTTAGAAAATCCCTACACTTGTTTGGTTATGCAACCTCAGGTCTAGGAGCTTAGATTTAGGGTCTGTTTGGGGCATTTACAACTTATTAATAAGCTGTTGCGCAACAACTGTGGTTGGAAGTTGTTGCGGAGAAGCTAGCTTTCTGTTTATTATTTGTAGAATGACATTTCTACTCTTATACTATAGTGTTGTTCATAACAAAACTATTCATATTAGCTTATTCCATACTTAAAAGCAAATATCCAGCTTAAATTTTACAAAATAAAAATAGACACATCACAAAACAACGAGTAATACAACAATCAAAATAAAAAAATGACTATTAATATAATAATTAATGATATGATAATATTATTTTTAAAATGTAAGTGGTTCACGAGATAAATCGTCCTCCAATGAAACTTATCATGCCCGATCACTATTGCCGGTGGATTCCTTTAACCCATCTGCCCATTAAAAGAAATAACAGTTTTCTATTATTTTCTTTAGACACATGTAAAACTGTCTCATGTAGCTATGTAGCTGTCGCAAGGTAATTAGAGAACATTGTAGACCACAGTAGCAGTATAATGCTTTGGAGGCACCAGAGATCCTCAAACTCATCTTTTTTGAAGATTTAAAATAACAAAACACAAATCCATAGATGCATCATTAGCGAAAAAAATATTATAAAAAGTTAATGCAAGTTTAATTAAACTGTGAGGTTTCAGAGAGCACAGTATAAACCGACGAATCTTTCACTATAAGAAGAGAAAATACCTTATAAAAAAAGTTCTTAGTTGCCTTTAAACTACGTAATACCAAACTTGTATGTGTCACATATGAATATCACAAAAAAAAATTATTCAAAAGAACCTAAAAAATCATAGCACCAAAAAAAGGAGAACTTGGCTGTCATCATTGAGATTTTACATGTGACAGAAACCAATAACGACATATAAGCCATCCAAATGAACCCTTAAGGTGAAATGTCTCATCATAGTCTTCAATAATTAAAAATAAAACATGCAATATTTAGATTACATATTATATGCACGACTGCCTTATCGGTCATCCAAGCGGGAAATAATAAATGCATAAGAACTGAAAATAAAATTGAGATTCAGAATAAACATTATTTGCATAAAACAACGATACAACAAACAATAAATGTTATTATAACACATTGCAAATGAAGTGAAAGCAAAATAACAGACAACCCCTCAATTCAACCCTCCAACCATGTTATTAGTATTTCGCTCCAATCATATCATCTTCCATGAACCTTCCCTATCCTGGGTGCTAGTTTCAGGCAAATCACTTTCAGCCTGTGATAAAGATTGTCAAACTCGATATTTATATGCTTCAACAGGGAGATGTGACTGATCTTATCAACTCTGTTGAAGTTAATGTAACTACGCAAAGGATGCCGTCCAATATAATTGTGGAGCATCAGTGTGGTGACCACAATCACACTTGTTTAAAAAATAGATTTGTCAACATTTCACGCTTTATGACTCATTTTTTTCTTCTAAACTCCAAATATTCTTTCAATAACAGTGCGTAAGGATGAATTTTTCTAGTGAAATATCTTTTTCCTACCCGAAGCGCATTACTTGATCTTTAATCAGGAATGTGATATTTAGTATCCGAAAATGACTTTAGAAGAGAAGGGAGCGGAAGGCGTAAACAAATGAGATTAATGAGGAATGCGATGATGTTTAGCTAGTTGACAAATCTCATATCTGAAGTTAGCAAGATTTTTATTAGTAAATATCGACAGATACAACTGTTTTAAATTCTGAAAATTGGGATAACCCAAACGATAATACAACAACATAATAGAACATTCAGTGAATCGAGAAAAAAAATGCAATTACTGGGAGAAGTGTTCTCGTTCTCCATGACTTTCTATTGGAAGAAGTAAAGCCTGATTACTCTTTTACTAGTTTCAATCATCTCCCCTGAAAGGCGATATTGAAAGACAAACATCAGGAGAAAAATTAACAACACATTCCATGTCATGTGTTAGCTTACTAACAGATGATATGTTACATTTCAACAAAGGGACATGTAATACAAGTTTCCGAGTTAGATCGATTGTTAATACAATCAATCCTTTACCAGTAATAAAGTTAACGCACCTAGTCTTGTGGCCCATGAACCCGAATCAATTATCTATGGACTAAAAAAAGGTGAATGCCAAATGAGTGATACCTTGACAAACGTGGGAGGTTGATGGGCCGAAAGTGAATTGATTGGATCCGAGAAGTTTGATTAATTCCTTCATTTGACTCTTATAAGGGGTGATTTTGGAGTGTTCTAAGTGGGAGCCAGTTGCATCGTAGTAGATTTAGATGCCTTAGTAAGATCCTTGACAAAGAAGGATTTTGTTTAAAGTTTGTATTCCAGTTCCCATTAAGTTTTTAACTATTTTCTTGAATATGGTTGGGTTTGTGATAGTAATCATAAGTAGACTCAGTGGCTCGAGGAGAGTTTGATGAGCGTTGAATATTATAAATGGCCAAGACAGATGATTCGACTGAAGTGGAGTGTCAAGCATGACAATTCTCTGGTTCTGTTCATTTCAATTTATGTGAAAGCAGCACGAATGGATGGAAGGGGATCCCGACCAAGGATATGACCCCAATCATCATCAAGGATTTTGTTAAGGCCAACAAAAAAATGGAACATGCGATCTTTTTCTATAATTTTTTGAAATAGGGAAGGATCGGTTAGAGATTCCCACATGTAATCACAATAGAGATCAAATTCTATCCATCAGGCCACCAAATCATTATAGTACTATTCATTATTCTCAATCCCTATTTTGCCTCACATATCTTTTTGAAAACCTCATAAAGTTGATTGAAATTCCTTACATCCGAGTAAGTATCTAGAACTGCAGTCTATACCACACTGACAGAAGGGAGAAACATACATGAACGTCCAAGCGCAGTCTCCATTGCCCCAACGTGACCATGAAATTTTTCACTTCCCAAGTTTCATATGTCGGGTAAGTTTTAGGAGGTTCATGAATCATGCCCGTGAGCGCCAAATTTCTAGCGTCCCTTGAAGAGCAAAGAGTCGGTTTGGGGCCACTGGAGAAAATTAGATCCGTTCAGTTTATAGGTAGTGATTAGGAAGTTCATGTGCTTTTCTGGCCCTCCAATTTGTGGAAGGATTGAGATCGATGTTGACCCTCTGGTGGACTCAAGTACACCGTCGGGAGAATGCTCGGAGGCGGAAGAGTCCATCATTATTCCAACTGAGCTAAATGTGATGTTGGGTTGTCAAGACATGGGAAAATCTTGGAAGTTGGATAAGGAAAGAACCAACGGCTGGAAGGGCCCTTGGAAACTAAAGGAAAATCCGTTGGTGGTTGGGATTCCGGTGGCTGGAAACAGTTGCCCGCAAGCCAAACTACAGTCTCCAGGCGGCAACTTTGAGATCTGGCTGCTGGTGGCCCTTAAGAAGGCTGGCGATGAGTGTAGAGAGGCTGGCACTGAGATCTGGTTGCAGGAAGAACATAAACAAAGAGAACCTGTAAGGATCGACGACATAATTCCTGCAAATGACCGACGGATAGTCCTAGAGCTCTGATACCATGTCGAATTTTGAGAAGAGCTGCATACTTTCATTGATAGGAAAAGTGATATAAATACATATTATAAAACCCAAATGAAGTAAAGACATAAAATTATAAATAAACCAACTAGGAAATGCGTAAATATGGAAACAAAAAATAATAAAGCAAATAAGAGCTAATAGTAATTGCAATAGTAATTAGTCTAATAATTAGGGTAATAGTTCTAATGTATACACATATACACAAACATATGTAGATGCACATACATGTGTGCATATGTATATGCATATGCACATCCATACATACATACATGTAGATACACATACATACATAAAACAACTTTATGATCTCGTTCAGTGATTATCTTACGTTATTTGTCTGTGCTATTTTATCTTAAGTTTGCTGCAAATATAAACTTTTAAGTTATATCAAGAGGCTTCTCAATAACTATCGCCTAATGGGAAAAGGCAAGACTTGGTTCTTGTCTCTTCCCTTTGTTGTTTTTGGATCTTAATACCTTGATCTTGATTTCGAGTCTGTTTGGGCAGCTGTTGATTATTTATAATCTGTCAATAAACAAATTATTCTGATAATTTGATAATTTGCAGATTATCAGAATATACTGGCTTGCTGTTTGGGGCAAACTATTCAGAATAGCTTATTGGTAGTTATGACTGTATAAATGACATTCATGCCCCTGTCTGTTAAAACTGTTTGGGGCAGTTTATTCAAAATAATTTATTGGTATTACAGAAGCATATAGTACGTAAACATAAAATCATCATAGATCATTCCAAATGATGACACAGTTCTCACACTCTCGTGAGCATCAGAAAAAACAAAAAATGATAGACAAGTACAACTACAATGAAAAACATTAAAATATTCAATTTCAAACTCTGACTACGTCTGTCCTCAGATGCACCATCAAACTGTGAAAACACCAAATTTCCATCATTGCTGACAGTGTAACTTGTGAGACTGTCGGTCCATCAGAAGAAATCGCAACGAACTGAAACACCCTTGCGACAATTGTAGAACTCTTCCATAACTATGAGGCTGACGCGACGTTAGTAACA